TATCTCCCTGGCCCACAAGTTTCAAAATGTAAAACAGATATGGGAAACGGGAAGAAATTGTTCAAAAAGAAAAAGCACTAGGATGGGTGAAAGGGGAAAGGAAAAGGGGAAAAATGAAGTCAGTAATACTATTAGTGTCTCCTAGTTCACTGCAAAGGAAGGTTGAGCTAATATCATTTAGAGAAATTTTTATGTCCATATTCTGTACACTGAGCAACTACTTTAACAATAGTAGCATGTAATATATTAACTATTGTTCTATTATTTTGATGTGAAATTTTGTTTTATCTTTTTTTCCTACAAAATTAAAAAAAATAGTAGGGATCCAATGTGCTCCTCATTCAGCTCCTCCAATGGTGACACCTGGCATATCTACACAGCAGCATCACAACCAGGATTCTAGCATTGATAGTGGCAAGACACACATTTCCATTGCTCTCATGCTCCCATGTTTTCTTCCTACCCTCTCCCTGACAGCCTCTCCTGACAGCTACTAGTCTGATCTCCATTTCTTTAATTTTATGACTTTAAAACAATTATATAAATGGAAATGTTAATCTTTAGGGATTTTTTGTGTGTAATCTTTAGGGATAGCTTTTCACAGTTCCCTTCAGATTTTTCCAGATTTTCGTATTATTAATAGTTCACTCCTTCGTGTTGCTGACCAATGTTCCATGCTATTATCAAGTGCGAAAAAAAAAAAAAAAAACTCAGAAAAATTCAAAATCCATTCATCATAAAACTTTCAGAAAAAAAGTAGAATCAGAGAGGACTGTCCAACAATGAGCCACTGTCAAAGAATGCAACTGTGGAATAAATTCTACTGGGTAATAAGTTTATAATTTAAAATACATATATCCCAGCTGGACATGGTGGTACATTCCCATAATCCAACCACTCTGGGAGGTTGAGGAAGGAGGATCCCAAGTTTGAACCCAGCCTAGGCAACTTAGTGACTTAGCAAGACCCTGTCTTAAAATAAAAACAAAAACTTTTAATAGAGGAGGGTAGCTGAGGATGTAGCTCAGCAGGAATGCCCTGAGTTCAGTTCTCAGTACTCAGAGAAGGAGAATATAGATTCCTTTTTTCCCCCCTGTATTTAGGACAGGTTCTGCAGGGTCTCACTACGTAGATCAGACTCATAGTGACGCTCCTGTTTTTAGCCTCCCAATCGCTGGGATTACAGGCATGCGCCAGTACTTCCACAGGCAGGACTGGCACTACGCACCAGGGATAGTACTCTGGCTGCTGTGCTCTGCCTAAGCAGGCTCTTTAGTCTGCTGAGCTATCAGGAGAGCCCTTGTTATTTAAAAAAATAATTTCATAAAGCTATAATCCACATATCATACAATTTACCCACATAAAAATCAATAATTCAATGATTTAAGTGTATGCACAGATTTGTGCAAACATCACTATAATCACTTTCAGAACATTTTCTTGACTCTGAAAAAGAAACCCAGTATCAATTATCAGACACCTTTGTGCCTACCTACTGCTAATCTACTTTCTGTCTCTATAGATTCATCACATGTACACCTATCTTAGTAGAATATATGGCTTTATTGTGATTGGTTTATATTTTCAGTGCTCACCTGTATAGCAGTATGTATCAGTACCTATCTCCATTTTACAGCTGAGTAATAGTCCACTGTACAGACAGACCATCATTATGTATATATGATAAAAAATACAGTGAATATTTGAATAAGATATACTGCAGCAAAAGACTTCATCATTAATCCCTTAAAAATACTCCCTCTAGCTTCTAACATAGTTGCTCCATTCCTCTTGCCATTTTTTGAAGCAATTCTGAAAGTTCTTTCATGAGTGCCTTTTAGTTAGTTCCTTTAGTGTGCCTACTTTGACGACTTGAACTGATTTAAAGTCGCAGTCATTCTGACTTTGGGGAAGAGTCAGAGGCCACATGGTTCCAACTTGGTGAGTAACATGAATGAGGACACATCATAATGTTTTGATGAGCCTTCCTTCTTGCTGGGAGTCACTCAGCAGCAGCAGAATCTGTACTTTCTATCAGATTTCATAAAGACATGAAAGGGGGCCGCCAGAGCTGCCTCTGAAAGTGGCAAGTGAGAGAAATATGACTGAAGCTGGGGTGATATTTTGAGGGAGATTAATAGCAATGTGGTTTTTTTTCTGTAATTTATTCAATTTATAGTCTTACCATATATTTTGATCACACATTACATTTATGAACTGTTGGATATTTGGATTATTTCCAGTTTGGGATATTGCGAATGCTAGTATGATCACTGCAAATCGTATTGACTTTTTCCAGGGTGCCTACTTAAGAGTGATGTTGTTGCTCCACAGGGTCTTATAACCTTTGGAGGAACTTCAAATTGTCTTCCATTTTATATTCTTTACTATAGGCAAATAGAGGGATTTTAATTTCTTCATGTTCTCACCATCATGCGTTATGCGTCTTTTTTACTATAGCCACACTAGCAGGTGTGACTTGGTATCTCACTGTGGTTCTGAGTTGCATTTCTCTAAAAGCGTCTTGACACTGAATGCATATTCATGTGCATACTGCACATTTATGTCTATGTTAAAGAAATTCCTATTCAAATCCTTTATACATTTTAAGCTGGGTAATTGGTCCTTTTATTAAAATAATTATTTATATAATTGATAAATCCTTTTAAGTACATGATTTGCAGATATCTTCTCCTCATTGGACTGTAGTTTAATTCTTCATAGACCCTTTGAAGAACATACTTTTAATTCTGATGATAGACAATTTACCCATTTTTATTTCATCACTTGTGCTTTGGGTTCTTTCTTCCTTCCTTTCCTCTCTTCTTCCTCTCTCTCTCTCTCTCTCTCTCTCCCCCCCCTTCCTCCCTTCCCCCTCCCCTTTGGTTTTCTTAGACAGAGTCTCACTATGTAGTACAGGCTGGCCTTGAACTCACTATGTAGCCTCAGCTGACCTCAAACTCAGTGATCTTCCTGCCTCACCCTCCTGAGTGCTAAGATTATAGGCATGTAACACCACACATGGCTTTAGCTTCATATTTAAGAAGCTGTTGCCTAATTTAAGATCAGCAATATCTGCTTCCACGTATTTTTATAAGAAAACTATAATTTTAATTGTTTAGATATAGGGTCCATTTTAAGGCACTATTTTGGTACGGTGTGAGCGAGAAGTCCAACTTCATTCCTTTGCATGAAGACTTCCAGTTTCTTGGAACATGCTAAAATGATCTTTTCCCCATAAAGACTGTCTTGCCACCTTATTACTATAATTGTATGGGTTTGTTTCTGGACTGTCAATCCTACTCTACTCATTGATATGCTACCTGTATGCCTGATACTATCTTTATGCTAGTACCACACTGTATAGATGGGAGCAACTTTGTAGTTTGAATTCTACAATTTTACTCTTTTTTTTTTTTAAACCACTGTTTGGGCTATTCTAGGTCTTTTATGTCTCTGAATGGATTTGAAAATCAACTTGGCACTTTCTACAAAAAAGGTACTGGGATTTTGATAAGGACTGCATTCAATCTACAAATCAACTTGTTGAGCACTGTTATCTTATTAAGTGCATATCCATCTATACAAATGTCATTTAGCTTAACTTCTTTCAACATTTTATGGTTTTCAGTGTCAGATTTTGCATTTCTTTTGTTAACTTATTTCAAAAATGTTTATGCTATTGAAAATTAATTGTTAGGGAGAGCTGGCTCAGTAGAACAAGCACTTGCTTGGCAAGTGCAAGGGCCTGAGTTCAATGCCCGGTTCTGCAAAAAGAAAAAAGAAAAAAGAAAATTAACTGTTAATTTGGGGGGACAGTTCACTGGTAGCATATAGACTACTTCTATACTATATTACTGAATTTTACATATTGTTTCCTCTGTGTTGAATAGAATTGGTGAAAATGGATAGCCTTATTTTGCTCCTGAAGTTTTCATTTCTCATCATTAAATATTAGATACGTGTTTTTATAAATGGACTTTATCAGAATAAGGAACTCCTTTTTGAATTTCATAAAAAATTAGGTTTTCTATTGAGATAAAAAGTTCCATATCATGTAGGTTTTGTCCTCCATCCTAATATCTTATATTAATTTTCAAACCTTAAACTAATCTTGGATTCCTAGGATACATCCTACTTGACCATAGCATGTAATTATTTTTATATCTTGTTTATATTATTTCTTTTTGAAATTTTCACATTCATATAATATTGTTCTATTGTCTTTTTGGTATTCCCTTTGTCTGATTTTGGTATCAGGATAAACTAACTTTACAATTATGTAGAACTGATATTCTTTTTATTTTCACTGTTTTATTTGCCAAGCCACAAGGGTACAGGTAACCTCCTGACACACAAGTGTCCAATACACAGTCTGTCCTCGAGCACTGTGCATTGGATTGG